AGGCTTTCTTCTTTTAGTTAACATTTCTGTCTTCATCTCTCCACTCCTCACCTCAAACACCCTCTCTTATTCTCAGGGATTCCCTGCAAAAACCCGCCTGAGTAATCCCGGCAGACATTTGGCCCCTGACACATCCACTTTGTTACCGAGCAAAAATAGCTTTTCATACCTCCGAACAGTGCTCGGGTCAGAAGAGCGAAGACCAGAGAGATCTTCATTTTCCACAGCTGCTGTCCCCATAAACTCCGAGTTGACTGCGACCAGAGAAAGGCAGCCAAAGGGTTCCCTCCCTCTCCTCTTCTACTACTTCTGTTTTTTTGCCAGCTGAGAATGGTAATATGAAACATTGGATGCTCTGTTTCCACTCAGAAACCTCCCTCTGCCCCTCCCCCTCCCAACTCGCACGGTCAAAACAGATTTGGGAAGCTCACGTGCGCACCCACACACACACACACATGCACAAAGCAGCCTGCAACAGACAGGTGAGCATGTGTGAGGCCACACACACACACACACGTACCGGTTCTGACTGGCGAGGGGAGTGGGAAATGTAATTTCCTGTGCAGGGTGGAGGACGGGGAGGGTTTGCGTTGTTGAGATTGACGCCCGGCAAATCACACTTCCAGCTGTGGAGGACAGCGGGCGCAGACCTCAGTGAGGGCTGTTATTTTGGAACACACACATAGGCTGACACAAAGAAGAGGAGGTTTTTTCATTCTGTGGGAATCTCACATTAAGCGTTTACCCCAACTGGGCTCAGGCGTCCATTGCTGGCCATATATTTAGCAACTCTTAGTGATAACCAGCCAAAAACAAGGGGACTATTAGGGTTTTTTTTGTTATACAAGTCCCCAGTCCCCGTCTTGTCATGTGTAACAAGATCCCACAGTGAATCTTTGTTTAGCAGTCTTTCGCTGGAAGATTTTTGGGGCACTTTAAAAGCCATTTCGCAAACCCCAGCTGCCTAGGGACGATCTCGATCACCAGATAAAGGAGACCGCCTGAAGAGACCTCTTGACTGCTTCTTGGATGGCAAAAGTTCGACAAACACGGATGTACCCTTTCCAAAGAAGTCCCCATTCACCAAAGATCTATAACCTTCAGGAGTTGGAACAAAAAAATGTGGAGGGATTCTCCTAATTAGGGCTTTAACCACAGACCAGAAGTCCTTTCTCTTTTTTCTCATATTCATTCATCATTTCTACTGGCAGCTTGTCCTGCGTGTACCCTCAACCCTTTCCACTATTCTACTAGGATTAATCTGAATTAAACATTTCAATTAAAAAAAAATTAATCATTTTCTGATACCACATGAGCTGTTTTCTCCTTGAGTTCCATATGGTCTGCGCCAAGACTGTTGTAATGGGAAAATGTCATTTAGTCCTAAAACTTGCGTCTTATCTTTCTCAGGCAAGAAATTCCCCAGATTATCTAACTTTTTGGCATAAATGTATTCTGTTTTTGCAACTGAGCAAGGCCATTAGATTTCCCACAGCAGTGAAACAAAGAGCTTTCAGAAGATAGTTGCACGGTTCATACGACTGCGTGTGGGTAAATAAAGATGTTGACTGAAATTGGAAGTCAGAACTGTACCCTCTGACACGGATGCTCTGTGTCTAAGTCTTGCTCTTTCTTGTACAAGAACTATTCAGTAAACCTTCCAGAGTGCTTTAACCTTAAGTATGCTCTGATAACACTCTTTTCCCCCCATGGAACACCTGTCCCAGTCTGTCATCATACACGAAAGATTATCGCAATCGTAAGGAAGGCAAGGAACCCCTTGGAATCACAGTCCAACTCCTGTCTTTCTGTCTTGCTGAATTTCCTTGATGTAAAATCTGCACAATGAAATCACAGCCATGTGATCCCTCTCACTTGTGAGCATAGCTAAAACGTCACAATGTTTTCCTCAATTCAAGCGGGGCATTCTTTTCCCTGAATCCCACCGTCTCAGTTTCTGAACTCAACTGGATGATGAAAATGCAATGAAAATCCAGCCGACAAAGTTACTTTGGTACAAGGGTCCTTTATTTTGTGCTTCACAGCGCTTCCATACTTCAAATTAACTTATTTACTGGAAAGCAAAGAAGAGAGGTAGAAGATGTAGCTTTATCTAAAGTATGTACATGAAGTTTAAAAAAAAAAAGGAACCCTAAGACAGACAGGGAGACATGTGAGAAGAGACACTAACTTCTTCTTTACAACCTTTTTATCACCCCTCCAAGAGCCCGTGTCTTCAGCTGCCGAATTCTCACCTGAATAGACCACCTAACGTCTAACTGTGGCTGCTAATAAGAAGATGGTATTAAGAAAATTCCTGGGGTATTTTCTTTTCTCAGATGTCTTTGAGTTGAAACATTTTGTAAGATTTCTTCAGCCTGATGTATAGGGATTTGTGGGGTGATGTCATGTCAATTACTTAAAACTGGCAGTATTAAATTGTTATTCATTGAATCTTATGAATGAGTAGTGTTTTAAATCACAACTATGTTGCTCAAAGTTAACCAGTCAATCTGACCAGGGTTGAAATTAGGGGGAATAACAAATGGGTGGATGGGAGGGTGAAACTGAGATTTGAATACAAATTCTAATCCTAAGTATTTATACTCCAGACCCCATCTTTTAATACAATTGATTAAAAAAACACTAAATTGAGTACAGCAGAAAAGGAGAGTAAACACTGTATGGAAGATATTGTATCATATTATTCATGGATCTCTGTCGCCAAGCTAATGAGACGATTGCAACCCACCAACTAATCATTGGGTATATTGGTCCTTGTTGAATCCTACAATTCTTGTGTGATACTATAACTCTGCCATGCTTATGCCAGGCTGTCCACCTAGCATAACATCCCTTATGCCATCCAGAATTTCACTCTTACATGTTTTTTTAGTATGTTGGGTGCTTAACAAAAAAAAAATATTCTGAACACAAACTGAAAATGGTTGGGTACAAATTGAGTGAAAAAGCTAACCCAAAAACAATACTTGAAAGGTCTTAAGAGCTATTTCCCAAGAAGGGGAAATAGCTCACCAAAAGCTAAACATGCAAAAGTCAGTGGCAGCTCAAGACCTTAGCTCAGTTCTCTGATAAAATAAAGAAGCAATCTCTTTTATTTGAATGTTTTTTTTAATCAGTGCATATTCCTAAACTGTCTGTACCTTTTCTCGGTCGACCATCGTGGTTTGGATCAGCAGGGACCAGGAGGCCGAGTCCAGGAGTGTGGTGGACAGGTGTGTGGAGTGGTGTGTACTGAAGCATCATGAAGACAAAAGGGCTGGTGGTGGTCTTTAGGAAACAGAGGACCTGCCTGAACCCACTCACCTTCAAGGGTTCGGATTTGGACACTGTGGAGGACCACAAATACCTCGGTGTCCACATAGACGGTAAACTGGACTCTTCCAGAAACATTCATGTCCATCTATAAGAAATGTCAGAGCCGACTGCACTTCCTCTGGAGGCTCAGATCTTTCAACGTCTGCAGAACCAAGATGTTCTATCACCGAGGGTCATCACAGGAGGTCTTTGCTGATGTGGCAATCAAACTGTATAAGGCCTCCTCCATTGGCAGGATTAACCTAAATAAACTAAACGGACTCGCACACACCAAGACGCTTGTCACTTTTACACTTTTAACCATGACACCTTTTCACTTTCACTGGTTTATGATTATTTTCCAGTTTTGTATTTTGTGTTGTACTCTGACATGAAAATTTCCCTCAGGAACAATAAAGTTGATCTTTTAAACTTTATTGAATGATTAAAAATCAGTCACTCTGATGTGAAAATGGGATACACTGCCATTATTGTTATTGATTACTACTGATTAATTGTTCCAAATATATCTTATATGAGTTTTAACATTGGTCAATTTATTGAGGGAATGTAACTTTTTCAAGGTTTCTGTGAGCAAAAGGTTCACAGGATTTCAGAGGTAACGTCTCCCTCTTCTGGAAGAAGGATGAATTACTTCCCACGTCTCAGTGAAATGTTGGGTTTTACCTAGGAAAGAGTGAGAGAAATGCAGAAAAACCAACACATATTTGGGCTTATTTTTTTATTTATTCATCTTTTTAAACACGATGAGAACTCCCAACCACTGAATTAGAGCACATCCTCCACAGATATTCACTATAGGACTGCACAGTGACGTGTCTCTGAAGAGGTTTGGGGTTGAAGTTCCGGCAAAACTAGAGGAGACGTGGGGCCACACGGGCTGACCCTTCACCCAGATGCCAAGTTTCGCATGGAGCTCGACCTTTAACCCTGCATGTCACTGGAAACCACCTCCGCCGAATGTTGCGACTGGCTGAGATGTTTCAAAATGACCATGTTTGGCTGCGGGTGAGAGTAAATAAGGGTTAGGGTGGCCCGATCTTTTGATATAAACCACGTGTCCCGTAGTCATTGCAGAATAATACCGTTCTTCACATGTTCCATCATTGTGATTTTTAACCCTTTAAACCCTGATCCAAAAAAATAGGAAGAATATTGGATTTTTTTAGTCTGAAGTCTTTCTTTGGCCCCTCAAAAACACATGAAGAAAAAAAAACTTAAATTATTTTGATGAAATTAGCGTGCAATAAGTCAAAAATATATTTTCGTGTAGTCTTCTACTCGCTGTTATCAGGTATATCTGAATGTGTACAACAGGGGTTTGAGCAAAGCTTTTACCATTGAATGGTGCAAAAAGTCTCAGATCCAAAAGACTTCAGAAACCGTATGAATCAAATATGATACATTTGGCATTATAGGGTTAAAAAAGAGGCAACTAGCATGACAACAATGGCGGCGGTGGCCTTTTTTCTTCTGCTCACCTCTGAGGGCCTCTTCATGCCACTCCACACGGTGAAGAGAAGAGACAAGTCACGTAAAACTCACTGTTTATATTTCACAACTTCATAAGTGCGTTTATTCAGATGCTCACAGCCTTAAAAAATCTCACCAATCCTGTTTTCCGAACGCTTGCTTCCTAATCAAGCAGAACTTGGAGAGAATGAAAGCGGCAACAAAGAGCAGGCCGATCCCCACGCCGATCAAGACGAAGGTAAGATCTGAAAAAGGAAAACAACTGGGCTGAGATCAAGTGTCGTGTGACAGAGCGGAACATCATTCAAGGGCTCATGGTCACCCTATCCGGACAGTGTGTGTCCGAGTGAGCGTAGAAGAAGAGGTGGAAGGAGGAAAGATGTTTGATTTCACAACTTGTTTACTCTGCTGAGGATGCAAGTCTGAGTCACGGTGTCACGCTCCATTCCGTGAAAGAGGCCGCATCATCAAGTGTTTGCAGTTGGAATCTGAAAGTGGGTCAGTAAATATGGAGGACTGCAAAAACAATAATTATAAGAATCTATAGATGACTTGATGAGTATTGTAATCTGCCTTTCGGTACCACAAAAAGCAAACCTTATCATTGATTAGATGATAGATTAACTAATTAGTTTGATTGATTTATAGATTGTTGCCAGGACCTCAGACCAGCAAACTGTCACAGTTGCTGTACTCACAGAGGTTCTGAATGTGAATGATTAGAAAATAAAGACTATTTGGATAGGGAAGAGTCAAGTTTTTCCATCTCAGAATTGAACTTAATTTCGGGTAAACAAATGACATAAATATGATGTGTTATTCCTCATTTCTGTCTTTATTTCTGTCTATATTACTGTCTATATATCTGTTTTGTACTAGATTTAGGTATGGTAACATCTCGTTGTCAGACTGCTGAAATACACAAACGTTGCCAGAAAACACCGGAAAACAAACCTGAACTCTAACAGACACACATGTTGTGTCCCCATTCAGAGGATCAACATAGTTGCCACATCGATCAGCCAGAATATTATGGCCATATGCCAAAGGAACTCCGATCAAGCCAAGTTGTGATCATAAGATCGTCCGAAGGTGTCTTGTGCCTGATATCAAGTTGCCAATAACAAACTTGAGGCAACGCTACACTTGTGACGGAGCAGAACATCATGTTCATCCTTCCTGACAAGCCAGACGGTATATGGTCGATCCTTTGGGTCTTGTGGGTTTAGACGAAGATATATGTCTATTTAGTTAGATTTGTAGCGAAGAGATCGTCCTCTGGCTCTTTGATACACTTTATTAACTGCTGGGGACTCCAACCGGGAACCCTCTTTCCACCAGGTGATGGTGCTAACCACCATATCACCTAGTAAATGTGACAGTCAAATTCCAAGCATGCAGATTTCCCAGGTAGTACAATAAAAGATTAAATATGCGGTTTGGCATGCTACACTGAATCCGGGGTAATTCAGCTAATGGGGACGTGTGAAATAATATGCAGTTCTTCCATCCTTCTGTATGTTTGGAGGAAGAAGAAAAGGGATGGCTTTAAAGGAGAAACGTGAGTAAGACATCCTAAGTACGTTATGATGGTGTGTGTTGTGTAGTTGGCTCACCTAAAGGCTCCTCAGGATCTGGTCCATCTCCCCTTACAACTGTCGGCAGACACTCTGAAACACGTTTAAAAGGTCATAACTCCAAAACAAAAAGCTGATTGTGTTGACAGGAAGGATGTAACTGACAGTGTTGGCAAATTCCTCCATTAGATAAGACCAAACACTGCCTAACAGTCATAGAGGGAGGTTTTTGTTTTTTACATGCACACACAGCACTTGCAAACACATTGTTAAAAAAACCACAGCTTTTTATCAGATTTCATCTCATGAAATTGAGAACACCCTCTTTCGTTCTTGTGTTTGTATCTTTAGTGTATTTCACATATACCAGACTTCTATGATTACCAAATTTCCCTAGAAAGGATAAATTAAGTAATCTACTTATCTATTTTTGTAAATCTGTACAGTACCATTAGCCATACCAGCTTCGGGCACTGGCTGACATTGAAACATCTTTTCAACAGGTGAAGATAAGTCACAATGCATTTGGCTCTTTTATGAGCTGAGTGTACAATAACCTTTCTATATTTGTCTTCTTCTTTGAAGTTTTGCATCCTTACTTTGGTGCCACAACTATGGCCGAGAGCTATTTGAATGTGAACTTCAAACTGTCCTGGCACTTAGGTGGCAATTTAATTTACTACACTTTCTAGGGAATGTACAGATTGTTTTCCCTTTTTTTGTTCTACTTGCATTTAGTCTTTAAAAATACATAGGGACATTCAAAAAGGTGCTCTGGAAATTATTTCCATACTGGTTGAATGGAAGCTGGCATTGTCTCCAATAAGTCATGCTGTAACAAGCAAAGTGACAACAAACAGATATGCATGCAGGTTAAACAGGCTCTAGATAACACCCAGATAGGGAACCGCAAACTGTATATTTTACGTGTTTATTTTAGACCGACTTTGACAAGTTCGCACAGTGTGAGTGGAACCAAAACTTTTAACAACCACATAGTTTCTCGTGTTACAAATGCATGCATTTTCAAAGAGTTCCAAAACATTTCGGACTACTTTTTTTAACGCTCATGGTCGAGTTCTTAGAGGTGCACTTATATAACCGAGGACGTGGCAGGGCAATCGGGCATAGGAAGAAATCAGAAAAATTTACGACAGCCATGGGCCAAGCACTCGATCCCAGCTGCTCTTTGAGGGGCCAAAATAAGTGGAGTGGGTCTGCGGGAGGTGAGGCATGACTGTAGGAGAGTGTGGCTGAAATAGTGCATACACGCTCAGCAAGTGGGGTTCTAACAGTTTAGGCCTGACTGCATATCTGTGACAGTTCTGACACCTGCTCCATTGTTACAATTTTGTAAAATGATAAACGGGAATAAAGCTCCATGCAGGTCGCCTGAGATCTTCAGCACATTCAGCAGGAATATGCATTGAACATATTCCTTTGTCCGAAAATGTGCGTACTGTAAACCTCTTTGGTAACTTCAGCTTAACACGTCCAAGGTGCTGGCAGAGTAAGTTAGATAAAGTTTCAAGTGGCCAAAGTGTGACCTCTTACATAACGTGTCACGGCCAGTGAGTAAAGCGTGGCTTGTCTGGCTGTTCACTGAGACTTTAACTTGCATGATCAGCCAGGGTAAAACACAGGTTCAGCAAGCGGACATAATAAACACCTACTTTTGCATACTTTGACAATCTTTGATGTAGACTGCTACATATAAAACAATATGTAGCAGATGTGTAGATATGAAACAAAACTTCACATGGAACTGTTTGATTAAGCTCATAAAAAGAAACTGTGATTTAGTAATCTGCAGCCTAGTGACTAGGCCTAGCCTAGTGCAGGGCTGTGTATGTTGTGTTGATGTGAATCAGTTGTGTTGAAGCAGGGGAAACCGTAAAGCCCTCAGGAAAGCAGCCTTTGAGACCAGGAGTCTTCCAACCCTGTCCAAGTTTGCCTTTTCTGTTTCTTGATCTTTAATTCTTAGTCTTTCTTTACGAAACACAAACATTTAACTGTTTAACTGTGTCAAATTTTACTTGCTTTTACAGTTGATATTCAAATCATGGTTGCTGAAAAAATTAATTAAAAGCTGCAATGACAGCTAACTGTGCTGCATTAGTTATTCTGATGCAGCTGGAGTGAAGATGGGGTTCTACAGTGCCAATATGATCAGTTTTAATGACTGCATCTTTGACCTTATACGAATCAATCTGGGAATATTGAAATCAAAATGATTGACCTGCGAACACGGTTTTGGGCAACAATAATATTTACATGTTTATTTTTCTCTCTCAGTCTATTATATGTTTTTATGCTTATTTTAGGTATGATCTGAGTTTTTCTGTACAAAACAGTAATTTAAACATGTGATAACATACTTGATAACATAGCTGATTCTGAAAAGAGGTTTCATACCAAGTGGAGATTTTCACTTGTCCAACAAGCATGTTTGTGTGGAGATTGTAGATTGTAGATTGTATGCCTTAAAGTCCTTTGTTTTATGTTAGAATGTGTACTGATCTCCCACTGGTATACTGAACAATGACTTTAACTTTAGGTTTCTACATGGTTCCATTTCCACTTCCATGTATATGTATTTTCTGACTAAATGGAGGAATTAAGGTAGGAAACAGTTTGGAGTTCACGGCCACATTACGAACAATCCAACAACAGAGACATTTTGGACCAAATACAGCAAAAACGTCAAACTCAAATTGTGGGACAACTATAAATATTGATGTTTTTTATTTACCTAAAAAATGTTATTTCCACTATATTTGAAGCCAAAGATAGCTTGCTATGGTCTTTAACTGGGCGGCTGGGTTTAGGTTAGTTGACTGAAGTTTCCAGAGCACTGTTTAAAAAGCAAAAGTTTGACAGTGTCACTTCATGACAGACTCACACAAAGGACCTGAATACAGTTTAGCTATTGTTTTTACTTTCTGAAATACTATTGGTTCAAATGAATTGTTGAAAACATAGAGCCATGGCTGGACACAAAAGCTATCACATTACACCCAGATATTACACGATCTAGGAATAAACTACTCATGTTGGTAATCTATTGAGCCTTGTTATAATTTTTCTTTATGAAGTTATCTCAGCTAAGTTGCTACTGCTCACATATCAAATTTCTGGTCATAGGTTACCGTATGATTGTCTGCTAGTGTACAAACCTTGTTCAGACCTGATTTTCAACATGTCACATCAACAATTTAGTTTAATTTAGTTTCAAAATGGCTGACTCCTGATAAGACAATAACAAAAGAGTTTTTACACACCGATTATGAAGATGGCTCTGATGAAAGCTGACAACGACCCACACATCTGACTTGCTCTCATCTTTCTTTCTGTTGCAGAGGTGTTTATTCACTTCTTGAAGTGCTCTCGGCCTCGCATACGGTAGCAGTTTCCTGAGTTTGTGGTTTTCAGTCATGCTGCTGTCACACTTATCTCTAATGTCATTTAACTGCTGCCTCCCAATTTTGTTTGACATTTCACATGAAATAATCAGAGAAGAAATTATTGTTGTGCAAAGCTCAGGGAAGGTTGTACTTTCTGCTTAAAATCAGATGCGCTAAATGAGCGTTGGTGGTTTGTTCGTTCAACCGAAAATTCTACGTATTTTAAATCAGCCTGCTTGAAGTATTGCTAACTGTTTAAATGATTTGCATGCATTGCGTGAATGTAGAATTTATACCACAAAATGGTCACCGATGAAAAGGAGTGATTGCTATTTACCAATGGGATAGTCTTAATCCGAAATAATCAATCAATCAATCAAGGACACACTGCAGGGACTATGTGTTTCGGTCTCTTGGCTGGCCAAGGAACACCTTGGTATCCTCCTGGAAGAGCTTGCAGAAGTGGCAGGGGAGAGGGAATTCTGGGTTTCTCTGCTCCGGCTGCTGCCCCCACGACCCGACCCTGGACAAGCGATGGACAATGGATGGATGGAATCAACTATCAATAAACTGTCAGAGTTGAAAATCCATTAGAATAACAGTTGACTCGACTCACCTATTAAGCATGTTGTGTGTCTTATGAGGTCTCATGATGTTCCTTGCTGCCACTTTTCACTTATAATTATCATCAAACACCCTAAAGCTCATCTCCTGATCAGATCTGATGAGTTTTATTCATTGTGATGATGCCAAAATTGACCAAAGACCCTTTTAAAAATGCTGAAAACAAAATACAAATCGACTCAGAAATAAGATAGCAACTGTTATTTCTTTCAAAATGATCTTGTTTGCGTAGGTTCACTCATCTAGAGAGTCTGTCATTAGATGATATCCATAATAGTTTAGAATATGACGGTCTTATTGTCACTACTTAACCTGTTAGCAGTCTATAATGAAAACAGAAATGTGCCTGCTCTGGCCTCAGTCTTTGAATGCCACCTAATATCCTCGCTGCCCCCAGACTGCATGTGATCTGACTCAGGTGGCCTGTCTAGCCTGACACTTCTGACAATTCTCAGTGGGCATGAGGAGGCATGAGCCAGGCTGCTTGCTAGCGCCCAGCAATTTAACAGCCAAGCCGAAGCACATGTGGGTGTCAGTCATAACAGCTCAGACAAAGACTTGTTGACCAAGAAGGATAAGAAGAAAAACATCTTGGTTGTCCAGCTTTTGTTTTTGTTGTGTATGGCCTTAGGGTTTAAAGCAACTTTTAAAAAATCTATTACTGTATAAATCTGTGACTTTATTATAAATATACAATCCTCTGAAATGAAACCTTTAACACACCACTCAATGGTTTGGTGGAGCCTTTTTTCACTTACTATATCATAGAATTTACAAGAGGAAGTGAATTTACCTGAATTTACCGAAGCCTAAAATTGGGATTATTTAAGTGATGCCTAAATTAAGCATGAGTGATGACATTTTGTTTAATTTCACACTTAAAAAAAAAAAGCATTGATTCAGGTTGTCATTTCTCCAAAAAAAGAAATATTTCCCCACAATTTTAGTACTAAAAGTTGTATCAGTTCTATCAGATTGCTGGTCTGCGGCTTTCAAATGTGAAACACAATACCAATCACACAGGAAGTCAGAAGTTATCGTCAAGCTCTTCTCAAACAGTTGTTGAAAAATGTTCTTTTTTATTAAAAAAGCAGGTACACTGCTTACACCGCTGTAAACATCCGCAGGTACACCCATTAGGTAGAATTGTATGAACTGGTAATGAACTGGTTATGAACCCTTTGAATGAGACTGACCCTAAGAATTACCACACCTGCCACTTTTCACTTATATTCATCATCAAACACCCTAAACCTCATATGTATATTTTGCTAATCTTATCGCCTGATAATCAAAACTTTCGTATAGATATATCGAAATCTAAATTATTGTAATTTTGTGCAATTTTTCAATGGAAACCCAAGCAATGTAGTGGAACATTGCAATATTTTAAGTTGCATACATTTTTACATATTTTGAGACACTCAATAGAAAAAGTAATGTAGATGGTAACTATAATGTTGGTTTGGATAAAAAAGCAAAATGCATTCATGTAAGCCCATAAACAGAAATATGTCTCCATTACTCTAAATCTTTTAGGAAAAGAATTACAATATATTATATGTCATGTTTCTTATAGTGGGATAACCACCAACATCTTTAAGTCACCAGATTCTAAACTTTAGAATCATCAGTTTTTGTGGCAGTTTGAGAATCTAAAGATGTCTTTTTATTTAAGCCAAAACAAAGTTTTGTGTTCCATAAATTTCTTAAGGTCAATGATAAAATTAGAGTTATCTATTTTTTTATCTATTTTTTCTTGTCCTTTCAGTGTTCGGCTTCTATTATTAAAACAGCCTTTTAAACTTTGAATTTGTTTTACAGATAATATTCTTATTCATGCAAACAAAGGTGGGAGGCAAATAAGAGGCGTTACACCATGACATCACCACTTTAGTGTACGAGTCAACAGAGAGACAGTGGCAAAAAAAAATCCCATTATTTGGAGGAACGTGCCATTAATACATTTCATGATATTCAAGAAACCATTTGAATGTCCTTGATGGAAGTTGTTTTGCATTAAACTGACAATAGAAGCTTTGACTGTGTGAGAGGTTTAACAAAAATAGACTGGCTTACACACGGCACGCTGATGCTAACCACTTTGATACCAGGGCTAAGAGGTCGTCAACAAATGGTTTTGTCATTAAAAGTTCATTTTCCCAGTGAATTACCCAGAAAACATTATTGTAATCGGGGCAACGAAAGTAAATCTGTAGTTTAAACACACAGGCCATAAATGTATAACTAGCAAATATTACTACCAACTGCAAACAAATGGTAAAAGGCAAGAGCTGTCAAGTTTACGGGTCAGGCAAAGCTCTCTCTTGTCGTCTGGGGTTTGCGGGGTCAACTACTGACTTAATCCGAAGCATGGAAAGTAAACAAAATGCCCCTTCCAGTTCGGCATAGTCTCACAGCAACAGCTGCATTGCCCCTAAAACTAGCTTTCCCTGTCACACATGTCCACAACGAGGCTTTGTAAACAGAGCTTGAACAACAAGAATGCACCCAACCCTGCCACAGTCATGCCACTCAGTAGATACCGCCTCCAGTGACCAATCTACCCTCCAGGGGCCGTCCATGCTTATCTGGTTCTATGTGAGGCAATGAGCTATATCAGAGAGCTCGTTTCTCCTGGTGACAGAAGCATAACGAGCTGCTAAATACTGGCCGATGACGTAACCAGGTAAGTGCATCCCACTCCCTCTGCATTGCCTAAACTGATCAATGCCTGCTCTTAACTGACGATAGGGCCCTGTCATGTCTCTAAAGGTGCCAGACAGTAGAGAGAAGGTCCATGCCAGAGCCTATCAGTGCTCATTGCTTGGCTACAAAAATAACCAATGACAGTGTCCATTTCATCCTGCGGGCCTGTCTTGCCCTGCCACTCGACACCCACTGGTTATTCCAATGTGGGCCTGCGAGCTGGTTCCCGTGTTGCTGCTCAGTTTGGCCACACAGTCCTGTGTGTCTATTTTGGTATCTTTTGAGCTGGTGCTCAGGAGCCCGGCCACACCAGTGCGTTTGAACATGGATCCAAGGACTTGACTCACTTTGGTGAGTTTACGTTTGTCTCTTCCATTTTAGCCTAAAATGAAAAAGAGAAAAAAAAGTTTGTGGTGACATTACGCTAAGAGGAGTATTCTCAGCAGGTGGTGCTGCACTGGATTCTTGGATTCTCTTTGATACCGGTCTGCTTTGGACTTAGCATGAAGGACCCATCCAGAAGGTGAGAGAGTCCTGTTTTGATAAAGGTTTAAAGAGACGCCAAAGCTTCCTAACCAAATATGACAGAAACAAAGATTCCTAGAATTTTGGGGCTAAATAGAGTAGAAAGAAAATGGTCTTTGCTTTTCTGTTTTGTCGTAGTTTGAAAAAAAAAACCCCCAGACATGTTGATATGTCTTTTCCTCTTGTCGAAAACTTTTAGAGGGACAATGTGTCATGCCCCAATGATGGAGCCTTCATACAGTGTAGTTAACTGTCCAAGTCCATTCCTTGGGTATAAATAAACAAGCAGATGCTGGGAAAGTACCGTTGTTGCTAACTGATCTCTGGTTATGGAAGCTAGAAGATAGCTGGCAACCAAACTGTCCTTGAAAGCCAAAACATTCAGTAAGTCTGACTTACGATACAGTAAAGTCATTATAATACTTTTCCTTTTTTCAAATATTGATCTGAAAAGGAATAATGAAGACGGTATGATTAATTTGTCCTGCTGGTTAAGCTTTCATCTAGTCCTCCTTTCCTTTCACCGTGGATGCTATCATTACCTGATAATATTCTCTGAGCATTTTCTTTTAGTGTCCACTTACCAGACATCACTTTGATCTCTGAAATTGTTTTTAGATTTGTCTGAGTAAACCTCATCTTCCTTTTTGGTGAGTGATGGTTGCGTTGGTAGTTGAAGCCTTGGGTTACAAGTCAGTGGCTGTGCTCCACAGGTCAGGCCATATAAATGGGTTAATGAGCTATTCTGAGAACTCACCCAGTTAGCTAAAGTAAGCTACAGTAGAGCAGCTGCTGCTGAGGTGGGCTGCGATACTCGTGATTGATTGACTTTTCGTGCTCTCTGCACTGTAAATTTTATGATGAGAACATTGGTTCTACGGTTGATCAGATTCAATAATGTCAACCCATTAAATTTTCCACGATTTCAAGAGAAGATGGGTGACGGGTGAGAAATGCACACTCATGAAAACCTTTCACTGTATGTGAGCTATGGATGAAGTAGCATTTTTCTCTCATTGCAACCAACACTATGATTGGAGTTAAAAGCATGCGCTGCTTAAAATAACACCATGCATGGTCCGAAGCGTTTGTCTACATAGTTAGAACATATCTCAAGCCACCAGACGTTGTGCACATAAAGGTCATCAGTGCAGCTACAGTTTAAAGCCATTTGAACAACCATTTGCTTCTTCTTTGCAGGTGATTTCCAGATCAGTCCACAAACCGACGCAAACACAAGGAAGGCAGGACTGGTGATGACAAACCAGAGAGACAACTGCTGATATCATGAGCTGTGTGGAAAAGCGGCACATGAGCCACCGGATGGGGAGCATGCTCCACCATCGCTTCCCCAATGGTTTCTCAGACTTGTTCATGGACGAGACGGACCGTGAGGTCAGCACCCTCACCGACAGAGCCTTCCGCAGTCTCTGCGTTGGAGATGATGCGGTTTACAACGACGAGTTCTTGTATGGATACTCACCATTCAGCTGCCACAAGCCTTTGGTGGGGGAACGCCTCAAAAAGAATCACAAGGAGTCCAAAAAGGCGGGGCAAAACAAGCATGACAAAAGCGATGCCCAGAAGAACATATCCAACATGTCGTCGTTCCTCAAGGCGCTAAGTGTTGCCGAGGGAAGCTGTGAGGGGATGCTAATCAGAAATGGAGGTATGGCAGACTCTAACGGGGAGTCATGGGATAAGTCAGCACTTCGCAGCATCCAGAGAGAGTTATCAGAATTCTCTTCAGATTATCACACTGGGCTCGCTGACAGACATTACAACAACAATCAGTCTGGTGATGGTTTATCCAACAAGACAGGCAAAGATGCCAGTCATCCCTCTGGGAAATTAACCAAAATGAAAAATGGCAAATCCACCATCAAACTAAAAAAGCTTAACATTACAAACTTTTTCCTCCACAGTGAGTTAAGCCCTTTCCAAACATGGAGGGACTTTAACCAGTACCCCTTTGCTCAAGAGGACGCGGGCACCACTATTCTGTCTGCAGATAATACCCCTAAATGGTACGACTTGCCGTTTTACAAGGAGCTGACACAGGCACACAGACAAGAGACTGTGCATACAGAGGAGACACACACATGCCACAAAGAAGCAAATGAACCCTCTCCCCCCTCTGTTCTCCAACCCGTCCTTCCCCCTCCTCCACCAAAGGTCCTGCCAAAACCTTCAGCTATTCTGGCTGAGAAGAGGTGTTCCTCAGATGGAGGGGATGGGACTGCTGCCCCCTGGAGGCGCAACAGGTCCAGGGCCAAAAGTGCCATTCCAGCAAATCAGCCAGGGAGACAACCTCAAGAGGGCAACAGAAAACCAGTGGATGAAAGTCTTTTGTTGGTCAAAAAGGAAGTTAAATCTGTGGAAGTCAAATCGGTAGAAGAGGTCAGCTCTTTGGCCTCTACTCCATTCAGCATCTGCCAGCTGATGACTCCCGTCATTCCCTCCAGACAGCCAACAGAAACATCTGAAATCCTCCAAGCGGTTCTCTCGCCGTCTGTCCTCGATCTTCCGGGCCGGCCTCAATCCGAGGCCAAAGTGACCCCTGAACCACCGGTCAAACGTGAGAGCTACAAATCACTGGCCTCCAGCATCCTCTTCAACCTGAAGGACAACCGGAAAAGGGTTAAGAGCAGGTACAGCCCCCCCAAATTCAAAACCGTGGAGATGCCTGAAGACACTGACCAGTCTCCACAGTTAGACGTTTTAAGGCAGGCCGGTTCTGACGGGTACGCGTCAGGCTTAAGCACACCTGCCATTTTGAAAGATGGGCAGCCAGTTTGCAGTCCAATTTTGGAACCTGTAGATTCCCTAGATGTTGATCATACAAAGCGTGATAGTGAGCACCCTCTGACAGACGATTATTTGTTAGCAAATCTGCTGCACGCTAAATGGGACACCGCTGAGAAAAGCAGCCACGGAGAAGAAAGTGTAATTTCTCCATTTAAAAACCCCAAAGCAAACAAAAACCCCATGGCCAAGAAGCAGAACTACCCCTCTCTTAATTTGTATAAGAAAGCTAGTGCTGTTGACAGCGATGTGAATTATCTTCAACTCCCTCCAAGCGCCATTGTTTCCGCAAACACCAATTCCCCAACTGAGACAAAAGACAGACTGCTTTCTCCAAAGGATCTGCCAACAAACACAAAGCTTTCACCAAGTGCTTTACATGTCATCGAAGAGTTTTCCCCATTGATTTCACCCCACATGCTTGAGATGGAAGGGCTTTCATCGCAGGTTAAAAGACCCCCAAACATCCCAGAGAAAGCAAAAAGCCTATTTAAAAATACAAAAGAAAAAGACTCTGGAGCGCAGCCTACAGAAAGAGAGTCAGGTGGCCAAACCATGAGCACAATGGAAGTGATCAGAGCAGCCAGGGAAGCGATTAACGCAACCAAAAGTAAAGCCCGATCAGCAGGTCAGACAAACAGCGTGAGCAAGGAGGTGGCAGAAAAAGAAGAGCTGAGGAAGAAAGGAACGGAGGACAAAGTTTCAAAAGAAAGACGTGGAAGCAAGAGAGAACATTTCAATCCAGAAAGTGACATTTGCCCACCACTGGTGGGGAAAGTGAACAAAGAGCCCCCACCTGTTCCAAAAAGAAACTTTGCTATATCAGATATACAGTTGCCTCTTGACAAACGGCCAACAAATTACACAGGAAAAGTCCCTGATCCCGATTTGCCTAACGCAAAGCTTGATTTACCATCAAAAGAAAACAAACTTATTAGAAAACAAGATAAACTCAACCGTGTCTTTTCATCCACGCAAAACAATTACATAAAAACTCAAAGGTACGCTGTGGTGGATGACAAACCAGCAGAGGAGTATGAGGAAGGCAATCCGGATGTAAACACTAGAATGGAGACAGATAAGGAGATGACGCCATGTGGAGAAATGAGAGATAGCGGGCATATAATAAATGATTTGCAGGCTTTGAAAGAGCTGGAAAGAGCAAGACTTGGCGATCGCATGCTTGAGAATGCAAAGAGCAAGCTAGAGGTTGTCAGCATAGATGAGGAGGCAAAGGCTAAGAATGATTTGATCTCTAGGGAGCTTCGGAATATAAAGCGAGGTATGCTCTCCATGAGAGGGAACACTTCAGCCAAGAGAGAAATATTTGCAAAGAAGGAGAAGGAGAAAAGCAAGCCGGAGGGTTTCGCAAAGTTGGACAGTACTGTCATCGTAAATAAGGCACTCATAAATGCTAATTATGACAAAGCCAAAATGGCACTTGAGGAAATCATCTCGGAACGGGAGAGAAAAAGGAGTACATTTGCAGACCAGGATGGAAATTCCACATCTGGAGAAAACTTTGATGACACAAATTTGGAAACACGGACACAGCAAGGAAGGGAGGCTGCTAAGGAATGTACCAAAGCAGTCAGCGATAAACAGAACAGCAGTGATTCTGTGCATAAAGAAACAGACCTGAAAGAGAGACTAGAGGATTTCCGAGACCATAATCAGCTCAGAAAGATTTTATCCCAAACTGAACCGAGACTCGGAGAGACTCACAGATCAGGTGGTAGGATAGCACTACCTGGCATGGACAAGATTAGCAATGAGCTAAACAAACACCTTAAAACTAAACCTAAACATATGAAAGATAACTTATCTGACAATAAGGCTGATAATTCAGAGGTCATTATGGCAGAAATAGCACGACAGTCCGAAGAAAGTGGAGAGTACTTTAATGAAAGCGAGGGCAAAAAGATTGGCACTCCCTCTGTGCCTCCAAGGAGCAAAAAGGGAGGCAACAAGAGGGATGGAGCAGCAAACAAAGAGACAGATTGGGTGGATGAAACTGCCTTTACCAAACATGGTGTGTTTAAAAAGCACGTGGAGCCATCAAATAACAGGACGACCTCAGAAATACGAGAAAAAGATCATGAGGAAGCAATGCAAAACCCAAGTAAAACTTACTCCCCAAAAGACCGACAAGAAGAGGAACATCAAGACAATGTAGAATCAATTTCTGTGACAAAGGGAACTACAAGCGAACCTGATTCAATTCCAAACTTCTCACAATCTCAAAGTATTCTTTGTCTGTCGCCGAGGCTGACAGTAAACGAAAACAACAACTTGGAGGTGATTATTGGCCCCAAGGAGGAAGGCTTAACAGAAACCGTCAACAACGCTGAGGAACAAGAGACGCATAAGATCAAGCGGAGAGCACCTCTGAAACCAGAGCATTTAATCTCAGCAGATGCCAACGTCACTATCAGTCCCAACACCCAGTATGAGCCTGACAAAGTAAGCGGTGATCCTGTACATGTGGATGCTGAGGCTCTCAGCGAAACACTGAGGAATACAGTGTCTCCTTTACAGCTGCTGAATAGTGTCAGTGTCCCTCAGAGCCCGCCTGAGTCGGCCAGCTTGTCCTCGAAATCCTCCTACTTTTCCGTGGAGAGTGCGTTGCACAGAAACATGGAAACCGAGTCAAACATCTACCATTCCTTGGAAAACTTGACCGGGGATATGGAAGAGGTAGATGAGGCAAGGCTCAGCGTTTCACAGAAGGATTCGGACAGAGCTGAGGCGGAATATTATTCTTTGAGCGATCAGGAATGTGAGCCGGATGGTGGAATGCGGCAGGTTAGGTCTCCTCAAAAAGAGCCTGAGTTACAGCACAAGTACAGCACAGACAGAGATCCTGGCTCTGCAGATCAAACAACAACTCCTGTGGAACAGAACTCTGATAACGCTTTCTCGCCAACCTTCGAGATCCCAGCTTTGTTTAAAGTAAAAAATAACATCTTCGGTAACAAGCCTAAGAAGGTTATGCCTCCTTGGTCACCCCGACGTGGTCAGAGTGGTTCAGAGGCCGTAGAGGAGGAGTCAAACCAAGCTAAGGAAAACCCTGAGCTTCTTTTCCCAGTGGCTAAAGAAGCTCCAACCGCCGACATCACAGAAACTTCAACAGACATTCTTAAACCCGAGGAGATTTTATCAAATCTATCACCATCCCTGCCTTCAACTCTCCAAAGCGAAAACTCGACAAGACCCCAAGTTGGAGGTTTTCTCACAGTCCCACAGGAGGAAGAAAGATTTTTAAGGGTGACTCCATCATCTGAAGGCGTAGAGAGCACAGCTGACGCACCCGATGAAGAGGCAATGATTGCCGATGTTCCCGCTGAGCATGAGGGGACAAAGGTTCCTAGCGAACGATCAGGTTCCACCTGTAGTGGCAACGACAGTCAGACGGGACTGCCCAAGCCCCCAGCCGTCTTACCAAAATCGGAAAAGGCGGTTCTCAAAGCCATTAAACTGGCAAACAGAAGGATGAAGAAGGAGGAGGCCCAAAAATCGTCCCACAAGTCCTCTCAAGGTAGCAGCAAACATAAAGTAGATAGACCCAAAAGTGACAAGTCAGAGCATAAAGGAAGCAGCGGTGCCAAAGTTAGCAGGAGTAGTGAGAAAAAACACAGAGAAAGATCTGAGGAGGCCCACAATGGTCGTCACAATGACCATCGTCACAGGAGTAACAGCAACGTCCAAGGTGACGGCCAGCAATCAAGCCACGGGGAAAAACGCCACCAAGAAAAGAGGCACGAGGCCCAGGGACGTGGCCGCAATCCAGAGGAACACAACAACCGGAGCACGGACGTAGACCCCGGGGTGACACCCGAACGCCAAGGCCGCAGCGGCGACAGACGCGTCCGAGATAAGCCGGAGCAGAGACATTACAGCAGCGACAGGATCATCAGCAACGTGCCCGTGTACAAAGCTCACGTCGAAGAGAGGCCCCCGTCGGACAGGCCCTTCAACCGGTCTCAAAGCATCGACAGATACTTGGGAGCTAAAGTGGAGCGCAGGCTCAGTGCTGACGTGGCGTTCAACGAAAAGCCTGACCCCAGGACTCAGCGCATCGAGAAGTCCATCATGGAGGAGCTTGCTCAGAGAGGAAGAGCCAGAGACAAGGCCGGCAGGGACAATCCAGTGAGGAGAAGTCACAGTATTGATGCCCACTGCATAGAGGTGCCTCACCCTTCCTCTCTGTCTCGCCAGTCCAGCCACACCAGCCACACCAGCCACAACAGCCATACCAGTCAGCTTTCACGCCAGTCTAGTATCGAGCACACTATCGTGACGCAGTCTTTCCCCATGACGCAACGGAAGCTTCTCCAGGACCCGGAATCGGGGCAGTACTTCTTCGTCGACCTGCCCGTTCAAGTCAAGACGAAGACCTTCTTCGATCCCGAGACGGGGAGCTATGTGCAGCTGCCCGTGAAGCCGACGGACGGGGCAGTTCCGCAGCCGTCCCCCATGGAGGTCCTCACGCCACCGATGGTCGTTTACCACAGCTTCGTCCCCGTCCCTCTCTCCCCCATGGCTCAGAAAACTACCATCCAAAAGGCTCACGTGGAGCAGGAGGAGTTTGAACAAAGGCACATGGAAAGGGCAAGGCAGATGCACTGTAAGGAGGGTCACCCGTATTTAGAGCCCGCGTATGGACAGCACGACCACATGCTCGGGGAGTTCATGGGCACAGAAGAGCTGGACTGTCCCAGCTGATGGTGCCTTTGTTTGAAAAAACTGTGGTGTTTCCTTCACTGCGGGAGTTTTTTTTGCAATGCTGATTTCAGTGGACTTTGCCTTTCACGACTTTAACCAGATTAGCACCATTTTCCACATTAATGACGGATTAAAACCCCACCTAATTGTTGATCACTGATGAAAAGTTCTAACCATATTGTAATGTTAAACCCAAAAACTCAGCTGTGGTGCAGATATAGTTTGACCTTTTGTGGACAGAAATACCAGGATGCACCGAAAAACTTCACTAAAACGGTCCTCCAAATGCAAAGAACAATGCCAGTGCGTGTTCAGTTTTTTCAGTAACATTACAGGTATAAAGGTTGGAGTTTTTTATTTTTATTTTTTATTTTTAGAATTTGCTTTCACAGTAAAAAGCTTTAACTGCGATTTTGCTGATGCCACTGAGGCCTCTGCTGGGTTTGTTGAGGAGGAATGAGTTTAAGTTGAGTTGAGTTTATATACGAGATAAACAATTGTTGGATGACTGATGAATGAGGATGAATGTGGATTGACATTTTTGTCTAAGAAAATGTGCAATTTTTGGGAGAGAAAAAAAAAGAGCATGGATGATCCATGTACATAATGTACTTAAGTGTAAACAGTGAGGGTACGCTAGAATAGAAAATGTTTATAATTTGTAAATGCTGGTAGTTTGTATCGGATCTCTGTTACTTTTCAGGATGTTTTCTTACCTGCAAAGTTCATTTTCTTGAGATTTTTATTTTCACTATACAGCTCGAAGTAATTTATTGTTAGATATACTTGAAACCCATCAGGTTAACTTAAAAGAAACAGCAGATGATCTGTATGTTAATGAGTCCGAGTTGTCGTGTCCACAAAGCCGAATTTCTGAAATATTTTGCATGGCAACGTTCAAAATTGCACCTGCCGAATGCGTTTCAAACATCACAATTTTCATTTTCACCGTTGGAAAGCTTGAACTGAAATGAATTCTTTGTTGTTGTTGTTTTTTTTGTAATATGTAGGAGTCATTAAGGATAATTGGTGTTGCAGGTTTGTTGCATCTGCATTTTCCTCAGCTAGAATTAAGCAGGGCTTTCTTGTGTCTGTGATCCATTCCAATAAAAAGAACTGTTTTCAACAGATTTTATTGGAGTTCCCCCTTTTTACCCTGCAACCACACTTTGCTCAGGAATATTGCCTCGATAATTGCGCTGAAGGCTAAGTGCTATGATTGGCAATTAAGATTAAGACTCAGTTACAGAAAACACTGACACATTTTTCAACAGTGGTCTTTAAACTATTCAGTCATGAATTCACTGATTAATAATATGTTAATATGTAAAGTAGAAATGTACAATTACCTTAGTGGGATGGATTAAATAAGTAATATTTATTCAGCTTTGAAGCTGTTGAGCAGATTTGAGCAACGACTCTCCCACCTGCTGATCAAAACGTGTAAATGTTCTTACATCTTGGTTTGATTGAATTATCTGGTCTATGAAAGATAACATATATCTACAAAATGTACAAGAATGTGAACATTTAAGTTGGGCTCTTTATAATGACCCCACAGCATTTTAAACATCTTTTTAATTCACTTGCTTCATATTTAGTTGAATTTTGAGCTTAGATTTGGTATTTTGAGCTTTAAAGTAATTAACTTTTTAAACAATTAAATAAAACTTTCAAGAATAAACATTTTTTTTCATTTTATCCCAATATTTAGAAGAACAGTCAGTAAAAAGAGGAAAGTTGGTCTATTTTCTCCGACTATGTTTTAAATGACAAACCAAGACCTTCGAGTCTAATATAATAATGCAAACTTTTTTTCAGAAGATTGCTTCTACACCACCAGAAGACCAAAACAAGACATGTGGTGTCACTATTGTTATAAAATTGGCGAAAAATAAATAAATAGTTGTATCTAATTATCAACTAGCGTTATAACTAACAAAAAAGACAGATTGCAACTCAATTTTTTAATAAACATATTTGTCTTAATAACAACTTTTTTTTTATTAATCTACACCAGGCATCTGTGATGAATACTTGAAGAAATGTTAATTCATTTTTACAAATACAACAATATTTAAACATATGCATGGAGATGCAATTCTTGTGCCCCCCCTCCCACTTTTGTCCCGATTCTTAACGGCTGCGTGGTCAGTGACACCCGCAGCTCAGGGCCACCATGTCGTCGTACTGCTTCAGCACCACGTTCTCCTCGTCGTCGAAATACAGCAGGCTGATGGACTGGAGCCTGTCGGGCACGCAGCAGGGGGCTTCCACTTGGTCTCTGGACAGCTTGAGCGCGTGCATGATGGAGCGCACGGTGGCGTGGTTGGTGGCCCGGAGGCCGACCCCCAAAGGGAACGGGCAGGAGCCCTTGCAGTGGTAGGCGTTGTATCCGCGGGGGGAGATGATCCAGCCCGACCAGCCGATCTCGTCGAAGTCGACGTAGAGCGGGACCCGCTGGCAGGTCTGGGGCCGGTTAAGGGGCGGGAAGGCCGAGGACGCCCGCCGTCTCCTGCTGAGGGTCTCATGGTTCTCAGGTTGTCCTATAAGGGAGACAAAGGCGCACTGATAAACTACTTCATTTTGTGCTAAAGCAAAAACTTCAAACTCTAGTGGATTCTAGTGGAAGAAGGAAAGTTATCATCCTCCTGTTAACCTTTTTAATAAAACTCCAGGAGTCATTTGTTTGTGTGTGGAAAAACCAAAAAACAACAACCAACAAACAGTAAAAAGTGCATTCAACTTCTGGTATTCTTCTACAGTTGGAGGTAAAAGTAACAGCAAAGAGCCGTAAAACTACATATGACCGGATCTAAAGTGAAAATTACTTGGATCCAAACTTCCCCAGAACTTCAAGGGGTTGAGATACCACCATTCCCAATGTTGGAAACCACACAGTTGGGAATCCACTACATTTTTTGTGGACTCCACATGATAAATGCATTGTTGTGGCTGTACATGTACAGGACTCCATACAAGACGCGTGGTGTCACATCCCACAAATGTAGCGGAAGCCAAAGAGAAAATCTCAAAAACTTCCAGCTTTCAGCTTTTTGTGCTGTGCAAGAAGGCAGATTAGAGCCCGTTCATTTGAATTGTGTTGGAATGGGGAAACTTGTAAAACACAGCACTGACTTAATGACTACACTGGCATAATCCTAATAAGTAAGCAATCCTACCAAGTAGCCTGGATTTCTAACCAAGTAATGTTAATGCCCCAGCAGGAAGTGTCAACAGTTTGTAATGTTGCGTTTACAGGCAATCGGGTCAACCTACAAAATAGCCTGTGTAATTGTTGTATCACAACAATATATATGTGTTTCATCCCTATGAACATTTTTTTAACAATAACCAAACGCTATCCTTTTAACACAGCCAGGACAGGATTAACATACATAATAAAAGTGTTGTTCATTATATAAAAAACATCATGGCCTTTGAGTTCTGTGATGGAGTGTTCTTGGTGTACATGCTTTCCACTCCTGGTTTCTTCATCATGAGGATGAAATTGAGAGTGACTACATATATGAATGCATATGAGTTGTGCAATATGCATTATGAGTGAGATTTAACCCTAAAATGCCATATAAATAACATGTTATATTGTTTCTGAAAACATTCACATCTAAAAAAGTTGCTCAAAACCTTTTTTTTTTTTACACAGTCTGATAAATCTGACACAAGTAGGCAAAAGACAATTATTTGAATTTATCGAACTGTAATGAACGAGGAATAGACAAGCGTTATTTGTTTCTTTCATATTTAGTTAAAGGGCAAATCTAAGAATTCGGACTTAGTAATTTATAACTTTTTCTTTCTCTTTTTTCTTGGCTCGGGCTTTAAAGAGTTAACAGAGACCACTTTCTTTGGTTGTTTCACACATGCACACACACACATTATTCCCTGCCACTTTACCCTGGCCTGACTTGTTTGCTCCTGCTCTCCCGTCGTCTGAAAATATGACCAGGTAGGCGTTTTTGTCGGTGGACCTTCCATCCCTTCCATCCCGCTTAGCTGAAGACACCGCCGCCTCCATCCAGTTCCCGGAAAGAAAGGTTGTCGTCACCAGGATGGCACCGTTTTCCTGACTGTTCAGGATCCACTTAGACACCTGAGATTTGCCAAAACGACAACTCAGAATTACACGCAAATTGGCATTTGACGTGGTGCCAAAAGAGTAAACTGGTTAACCAATATTTGTGAAGTGACTGAAAGGAACAAATAGTTGAACTTTCAATTTAGGAAAATAAAGAATCCAGAGGAGATGTTACCATGTCCGTGATATTGAAGACTTCCCATCCTTGTGTGTGCAGAGGCACCAGCCTAGAGGTGATCAGGTTTCCCCTCCATGGCTTCACTCTGCTGTCCAAAACCTCGTATAGATTCACCTGGGAACGTCAGTTTATAACCAAAAATGTCAACCTGCTGTTTAAGGTCCGTAATTACTGAATGTTTAATGGTTCTAAAATCACCGCTCTTAGTGGCCAATGTTAATCAGCCCTTAGTATCAACATTTATCTGTCAAATACACTACTGATGGGGCCCCGAATTCAAACTAAACAGAAATTATTAAATGGAAAGACGTTATGGTTCCAAACGAGGATCACCTTGTAGAAATGGGGACCGTGTGAATTTCCGAGGTAAAACTTCTGTTTCTGTTTCTTTCTGAACCAACGGAATTCCGCCTTGATGATTTTCTCCTCTCTGCTGAAAGACGACAGGTTGAAAACGTGAAAGCCTTCACGGTTGTGACCTGTGGGAGGCAAAACGTAAAAGAAACGTCTTTAACAAAAAAGTTATAGAAGAAATACGCGCTCAACAGACGCGCGTCCGTGCGCAATGGCACCGGACGGCCACATTAAAGCGCTTTCTCCATCACCAAGTGGTACTTAAAATGATGTATTGAGTACATTTAGACATTTTCTCGGAAAAACCGACATGACTCAAGCGAATGAATTAATCTGACAAGATTCTGCTTACCTTTATCCTCAAAACTGCGCACGGTGTTGCCTTCAAGGATCTCCGTCTGACTTTTGGGGGTCCCTTCTGCGGCGGTCACTGCGTTAAAAAAGTCCAACATGAACTGGGGCGCTTTTTTGTGCGGAGGGGCAGCCTCGGCCCGCGGTACGTCCAACCCCGCGTCCGGCTTGACCACCAGAGGGGTGGCGCGCCCCAGCTGGAGGACCAGGAGGAGGAGGACGCAGAGGCGCGCGGCTCCCGGTGCCATTTTTTTTCTTCAGCGAGAGCGCACTGAGCTCCACACCTGTGGGACCGATGTATGATCTGATGACAGGGTGTCCCCGTATTCAGCCGACACCAGGAGATGATTGGGCCGTGATTGATGATGGGGGGGAAACGAAATACAAAAGGAAGGTGAAAATGAAGGTGGAAATGACCCGAGAGTCGTCTTTAAAGGTGGAAAACAAATAAATGACTAATGTGCCTTCATTTGAATGCCAATTGTGGGCCACTTTGCGCCAGTTTTCCCCAGTTTATATATATAAAAAAGTAAATACCAGCCTGATATCCTTCTCGTTTTATTACAAAGGTAAAACAGTGGTCATCTTATTCAACTCTAAACACAAAAATAGATAACTTGCTCCAACGTTTTACTATATTCATAGATGTGAGATTATTGACGTTTATTTTTTTTATTATTATTGACGAGATTATTGACGCATTAACGTCGATTTAGGAACGAAAATCGTGTCTTTATTGGATGTTTTGGTGCGTGTCACTGAACCGCGAATTGGCCCATCCTCATAAAAATATCCCATGATGACGTTTTTGTGTCGCCGTTGCTCTACATCATGTGTTTCTTGTCCCAGTTGTCCGTTATCAGTATGAGGCCAGTTGCTAGAGAGCAAACGAACGACCGGGCCGTGACGCACACGAGGCGCGTTTTCAAAAGCCACCTGTTAATACGCACCTTTTTTTTTTCTTCTTCTTCACAAAACCCAGGCGGCTCGACCTTCCCTCCCTCCGTTACTATTTGGACTGTGACTCAGATCCCAATGACGTGTTTATTCCACCATTATGGCGCGCTGGAGATTATCCGTGATCAATCAGAACCAACAATAGGGATCAAATTCCCAAGATCATTACCCTGATCAATGGCCGTGTGTTCATCAAATTCGAGGTGATTTCAGGGAAATGATGATCCCCTCATTTAGGGGCCATTACTCATGTTAAGAGTCCTCCCCTGATCCCTCTTTTAAAACTTCAGTAGCCACGGTAAATGTCAGATAACCTCAGGATATAGAGCATGGCCATAAACACAGCAAACAAAGAGATTTTAGGAGTTTTGGTGTTGATTGGATCTGGAGAAAATACAAATTCTCATGTAATCTAAAGGTGTTAAGGAATATCCCTCTTTTTATTTGTCCTATATGTAAGGACGTACATGCCAATGACAAGATCGGTGGAGTAAACCTGGATGCAAACACCCAAAACTGACTTTGAATGGACATTTTTTGGTAAACTAAAGCAACGAGAGGCTTCGGAACCCTATAAATTTGAGGGGAAACGCAGATGGACCAGGAACTAGGTCATGACGGGACACGTGTGTGTCACTCAGTGTCACACTGTATATGTTCTCCATGCCCACGTGTGTGACATCTGGCACATGGGATATCCTTGGATATTTACACTGACCGTGTGCTGATTCCTGATAGACTTAAAGGGAAGTCCTCTGACGCAGATCATCTTGTAAGAGTTGCACAGGCCCGGGTGGGGGGGTGAGAAATGGTGTTCATGAGCTTAACATTGTAAAAAAGAATGTGCTCAACTCCAACAATGTTTACTAACCTTCAACACGTTACAGGTTGTTTTTTCATATTCCGTGGGCAATCCCGCCTTGTTCAAATAATATCTTTCACCGGGAATCAGGAGCAGTCTCAGGGAAAAGGATTCATATAAGTTTTACAACTATATTAACCTCATCTCAGCTCATGCTCCTCTTAAATAGCAGCCCTGGTTAGTATGGTAATTCTGCTAACTAAGGTTGGAATTCGCGATAGTATTTAGAACAGGAGTTCTTATCTTGGAGGATAGAAAAGTGAAAAAGACATACTTAGTCACATATACTTCCAGCGCCCGGGCACAAAATCACAGCTATAGTTGACTAAATAGAGAAAGAGGAATTTCAATTTTAAGATATTCAGCAAATCGATCAATGTATGAGTGGGATCTATTAGAATTCGATTTTTGATGTAAGGAGATAGTTTTATATTTCTTAAGATATCTTACAAACATGCATTTCATAGTAGTTTTCCTAACACTCCTTACTGTACTGAAAAGTAAAATGAGTGTGTTCCCCTTGTGCCATGTAAATTATGTACTTATTGACAAATAGCTGATTGTACTAAACCAATATTGCTTAAAAATAATGGGCCATTGTGATTATTCCGTATGTGTCCTTTATAAGTCATCAACCAAATCAATAACCTATTCAACTTTAAGGACAGAAATATTTTGCATTTGCATGAACAACCAGTCTGTTTATCAGTCCAAAACGCAACAAGGCTTTAACAATCGTGCCAAACGAGACCATAAAGACCAGAAATGACCATTTTTGTCAGAATTAGTTTTAGCAGGTCAAAAAATCAATAACGTCTTCAGGTCTCCCAACAAAAATCTTGACAAAACTATTCAGGAAGTTTCCGCTCTTTGTCAACAAATGAGTTGCATTGAAAAGTATTTGTTTAGTCTTATAATCTTATCTGTTTTCAGTCTTTATATGTCATACTAACTAGCAGAGCTGTGTAGTTTCATATGTACAGAAAAGAAATGTTTTAAAAATTAAAAAAATATATTGTGGTTAGATTTCTTGTACTATAGGGTGTATATGTATTGACTTAAATGTTTACTTTAACATTTAGAGGAATGTCAAAGTTCCACTCCAGTTAATAATCCCCCAAAGGCTTTTGTTACTCGAAATTATACTTTTTGTAAGAAAAATAGTCTTTCGTGGCTAAAAATGACTTTTGGTTCTTTTTTTCAATTGTTTTTTTTTCATTAATAGGGGTTTCTAAATATGATTTTGAGGTCCAGTCAGTGTGTCCCCCTACTACCAGCAGCAGGCACGGCCTTTCTTGTCTCAACTCATTGGTGATGTATTCATTTTTCTGTCATCAATAGTTTGATCTGCGTGAGTCAGGCTTCTCAGTTAGCCCCCCGGGGATTGTCAGTGGCCCCCAGCTGAAGGCCGAGGGCCCGTGGGTGCCCGTCTCCCTGGATACCGCCATGCATTCCACGGAAAAACATCTCTTGAATCCTTAGGAGAGCAGAGAGATAACATTAAAAATAAATAAGCTTACCAATCTACATAAATAGTGCCAAAGGTAATTTGTTTTTGTTGTTTTTTTTCATGGCTAGGCGACACCTGATACATTAAATGTGCTGACCGGGACCCGCCTCTGTTACAATTGAAAATTTTAGGAATTTGGAAGATCAAGAATCACTGAATGGGCAGGCCCCAATCGGTACCCGACCCTCCTGGACATCGTCAGATTTTACTCGTCCTCCCCGTAACTGTTCTGGCGCAGTGTTGTTAGCTAAACAGTAGATGGCATTGTTGCCCTATGAATGCCGGCAAAAGTTTCAAGCGGTCCAGTTTGGCCAATTATGACCCTGAGAGATTTTGCGTGAAAGGCTAGTTTTTCTGGTGATAACCGAACTTCTTCGTTGTTTCCTCCTCAGATGTTCTGCCCTGAAAACTGAATCTGAATCAGAAAAGTGTGCTAGCCGTTGCTTAGGTGTCCCGGTCAGTTTGTGTGTGTTGCCGGGACTGTTGTTTGCAGTTGTCTACATTTTCACCCGGGGGGCTGCCTGGCTCCACATCTGACAACTTTTCCTACGTGTTAATGACTTCACCTCGTGTTAAATACCCCTACTGATGTAATTAGGGACACATGGAAGGAATTTCGCCGGGAGTGCTGGCCACCGCTGCAAATCTGTTTGAATGAATAATGAAGAGGTTTACAGTCAAAGTGAAAGTGGTAACACATGACAGGGGTGTTGAAGTCAGCCACAACCTGGCGTGATTTTTTTTCACTAAATCTGCCAACCGCCTCCGACCACAAACAAGCGGGGTCGGCCGACCCCTTTGGTGCCTGAAATATCCATTTCAGCCGTGGACGGCGATCTCGCCTCGCGGTGATTTGCACTCGGCACCACCATAACTAATAACGGCATTTACATGTTCGTGATTGATGCTTTGTCCAAAGAGTCATCTCTCAAGAACAGTTTGTACAAATCTAACAAGCGTGAATGACAAAATTTAGCTCAGGGGCCTTCCCCCCCCCCCCCCCCCCCAGTCGAGCCCCCTCCGACAAGCTCTCTGTCATTTTCTTCGAGTAGTTTTCGGGAACAGCTCTCCCGGGCTTCTTCATGGACATTCCACCCTTCCACGGAGACCATTTCTGACTAGGCCTCAGTATAAAAAGAGATGGCTAAACTGAGGTGTCAGCATCTTTCAGGCCCTGTATGCCTTTGCTTGATATATTTACCCCCCTATTTCTTCAAGATATATCTTTTAAATGTAGAAAACTGATGCATCTGATAGAATTTTTGGCCTCACAGGCTTTCTTTCCGCAACTTGTCCAGTTTCATTGATTGGTTTTGATGAACACAATGCATGATATGCTGATTTATGTTGCGTTTTGCTTATTTGCCCCTTCATTATGGCCCGTTTCTACCCAGGGGACTCAAAGTACCTTTACTCTACATGCCACCTCCAACCATTCAAACTCATATATAAACTCTTAGTCCACATTTCAATTGATGGACAAGATCCATTGGTAGACAAGACCTATTGTTGTACCGATTGTTCAAGACCCTCTTAAAAATGCATTGAATGTTGAACATTGCTGTGACAAAAAGGGAAACACTGCTCTCCAAAACATTGATGAAGATACAGGTAAGGTTTGGCAAAGATTCCTCAGTAAGAAAATGCACAAAACTAAGTAAACTTAGTTGAATGAGGACAGAACTGCAGAGAAGTAACATATTTTATTGATTAATGTTGGTTATATGTTTATTGGTTTATTGGTTAGTTTTGACTGGCAGTTATATTGTTGTGTATCAGCTCAGTGAAGTAGTGCCATGAAAGGAGGAAGATATTGGAGAGGAGGTTGGAGTAGAACATATTGCATTACATACAATCATTAAAAAACAACTTTTGAACAAAAGAAAGTGCAAACTAAACCCTATGCAAAAAAATTTACA